AAAGACAATGTGCAGATGTGTCTGATGTTCAAATACAAAAGAAATAGTATAATGAATGATTTAAAATAAATGTATTCTTTACTTGATAAAAATGTTGCTATTTACTGCATAACATAGCTGTATTAAACTTGGAACTAAAGTTATAGTACTATTTTTTTCATTTTTTCTTAACATTGAAAAAAACATTAATGATTAAAAAACATCATTCATGATGTGCACAATCCTTACAATGCTAAAATCATTCCATAAATATCCCTACAAAGCAACATCTGTCTTGCTAAAAAATTGCATAACATGTAAATAAGTATTAAAGACGTTCTAAAATTGATTATTTCCCTTTAATCTTTATAGAGGAGGTTTATTAAACAATGTTTCATTCTAAATATCTAACCTTAAGCCCTTGTTGTTTTGAGAAAATATTTGTCAATATTTTAACTATAAACATATAACAAAAAGACTTACTCCCCAGGTGGGGCAAATTTTGACCCCAGGGCTATAATTTTAACAAACATGGTAGAGGTCTATCTAAAAAAAATTGTGGTTCTTGACAAAACATCTGATTAATGAAAAAAAAAATTATTTTTGTTTTCTACATGGAATAAAATTCTATGAAAAACTTTGGAAGCCTTTCCAAAAATACCCCCCCCCCCCCCCTCCAAAAAAAAAAAAACAAACAAAAAAAAACTGGCAAGTTTGTTTGAAATTGGACTAGCACTTTTTTTTTAAGTTCACTTTATAAACTATACAGCACAATTGTAAATACACAGATGAATTGCTATATACATCACATATGCATACAACTAAAAGCAAAGACATTGAAGCTTGACTAAAGCTAAATGTTCTATATTTTGCACTACATAATATGCAAGTGACATTGTCAATAAAAGTTTTACTGACATTTCTATGCTGTAATGGAAAAGTCTGAAGTCAATCCCTTCAGTTACAAAAATGATAAAAGCAAAAAGTATTTACAAGTTTTTAAAGTTTAAAATTGTAAGTTCAAAGAGGAAATAACTCTTGAAATGAAGATGCTAGAGTTATGAACATTGTCATACATGATATGAGTAATGAAAACAAAAACAATTATCTTAATTCTAGAGTAGATGCAATTTATAATAACAAAGATAATGCAATTTATAATATTGAAGATAATACTTATATAACAATTTTAGAATATTGAGCCAATAAGCCTTTCATATTCTTATTAAATGGGAGTTATTATGAAATTAAAATTCAAAGTTTAAAATAAATTCTTTGAAATATAAAGAAGTTAGAGCAAAAAATATTTTTTACAAAAAATAATCTAAGTTCAAGTGGGAAATAATCCTGGAAATATACATGCCATATATATGAATATCGTGTCAAACATGATACGGGTGATAATAAATAACAAATATTTGAAGTTTTAAGTAGATACCTTATGAAATAAAGAAGTCACTGTGAAACAAAATCAAAAAAAAAAATTCATTAACAAATTCTAAGTTCTTTGGGGGGGGGGGGGGGGGGGGGGGGGGGGAATAATTTTGAAAAAGAAAATGTGTGCTAGAGTTATGAATCTTGTTACACATCATGTGGTTAATGATAAGGAACATACATTTGAAGTTGACACCTTAAGAATTGAACATTTTATCCAAAAAAATATTTTACTGTACCAAAATTAATGAAATCTGGACACCATATACTTCGTATAGTCAAGATAAAAGCAAACACTAGCATAAATTAATGTTGCCACTTTAAGATGTGGTTGTTCATGAATATGAAATACATAATTATAAAACCAAACAGATCTCACATAAGGAGCTAGATTAAGACTTCTCATCTATCTACAAACATTTTTATGGCAGTTTTTATTTAAGGATATGTATTCAATGTAAATACAAGCAAATTAAACAAACTAAGTATTTATATTAATAAATTTTATTAATAACATCTTACAATGAGATTTATAGAAGAACAAAAAACAAAACAAGTGGGCCATGATGGCTGTGAGTCACTCACCAGAAACAACTGCTTTTCAGTGTTGGAAATTATCCATTGTCTATATTTTCTAATATTAAATTTGAGCATAGAATATGTTTAAACAATAATTTTAAAATATACCATGACCTGGGGCATTTAAGCTTTAGTTTAAACTGGACCAATCAAATTAATATGAGCAAACTTGATAAAAGACTACCTAAGAATGCTACAGACAAAGTTTGGTGATCATCCATCTTTTAGTTCTGTAGAAGAAGATGTTTAAAGATTTTTCTATTTTTAGCTCTGTTGACCCATAAAAGGGGCCAATTGAAATGACATAAGCAAATTCAAGTGTGACTGTCACAAGGATACTACAGACCAAAATAAAAACAAGCATTTGATAGTATTGCGGGCAATACAGTAGTCCCCTACCGGTCCCTCAAAAAGTTCTTTAATTGTCATACACTCCTGTGTATTGCCATTTATAATGAATTTGAGGATGAAGTCTGTATTTGAAAATATCGACCACAAAACATAATAAAATAAGTTTGTCTATATCACAGTAATGTGTTAAGTTTCCATGCTTAGTAAGGAAATTATGTTTATACAACCTTGTCATATTATTACGATGTGGGATTTTAAAGTAAATCCTATAAGGAATGAAGAAGTTGGAGTGAAAATACCAGTTTCTCGAAAAAAATCTAAGTTCAAGGGGGACATAATTCTGGAAATAGTCTTGCTAGAGTATTTAACCTTCTCATAAATGTCGCGTGATAATAAGAAACATATATATGAAGTTTGAAGTAGATACATTAGGAAATAAAGAAGTTATTTAAAAAAGACAACATTTTTTCCCCTAAAAAATCTAAGTTCAAGGGAGGTAATACTGATATTTTTTGTGCTAGAGTTATAAACCTTGTCACATATGATGTGGTTGATGACCAGAAACTTATATTTAAAGTTTGAAGTAAACACCTTAAGAAATAAAGAACATATAGTGAAAAACATGAAAAATTTAAATCAGAAATCTTGAAATTCAGCCTATTTGTTGCCATAGCAACCAGAATTTTCAACATAGGAAGAAAAGAAAAAGATGTGCATAATCTCCAGACTGCCATCTACCCATATTTCAAGTTTCATAAAAATATTTTCAGTACTTTTTGAGTTATCACTGGATCCAGTTTATGTGTTAAATTTGCCATATTTTCAGACTATTTGTTGCCATAGCAACCAGAATTTTCAACATAGGAAGAAAAAAAAAAAGACGTGCATAATCTCCATACTGCCATCTATCCATATATCAAGTTTCATAAAAATATTTTCAGTACTTTTTGCGTTATCGCGGGATCCAGTTTTGTGGACGGACGGACTGACAGACAGACAGACGGACAGACAGACAGACGAACAGACAGACGGAGGGTAAACCTAAAGTCCCCTCCGGTTAAACCGGTAGGGGACTAATAAATCTTCCCAGCTGTTTCAGAGAGGAAGACGATTGTTGACGCATGATGACAAAAAGATGGACCATCCCCCTTTGATACTAATAGCTCACCCTGAACCTTTGGTTCTGGTGAGCTAAAAAATAAAAAAACAACTACCCATATCAGAAGAAAAAATACATTATAAATAATAATACATTTTCTCAAAGATCACAACATCAAACATCAAAAACTACTTCTTCCATGTTTGTTATCGTTTCATTTCCAAGATATTCCTGTAAATAAACATATAATATATTTTAAAAAACTGCCCTGCAAAGGGGGAGCAATATACGCCCTAACATTTATTTGAGTAGTCAAAAATGATTTTTAAATTTGAGTCAAGAAACCATTCAAGAAAATTGTCTGAAATTTGTTTTTACCTTAATAAACCTTATGATACTATATGACCTCAAAAGTGGAGGTTTTTAATCCTGGGTACAATGCTATATGACAAATACATGTACACAGGCAAAGTATCTAAGCAAAAAAAGATAAACTCTCGGCAATGAAGTTTTAAACAAAATAGCAAAACATTATAAAAACTTTAAGATGTTTTCCTAAAATAGTATATATAAATAAAACAAGAGGGCCATGATTGGCCCTAAGGTCGCTCACCTGTATATATAGGCCCCCACCCAACCCCACCCCCCCATCCCCAAACCTTGCAGGGCCAATTTTAACCCAAGGGCTTTTATTTGCACAAACTTTGTAGACACCCATAAGAAGATGTTTCATGCTAAACATCTAAGCTCTAGCTCATTGGGCTTTTTAAAAGAAGATTTTTTTTAAAGTTTTTACTATACACATACATGTATAGTTAAAAACAATGACACCCCTGGGGCCGGGCCAGTTTTGACCCCAGGGCTTTTATTTGAACAAACTTTGTAGACACTTACTAGAAGATGTTTCATGCTTAATATCTAAACTCTAGCTATTTGGGTTTTTTCAAAGAAGATTTTAAGTTTTTGCTATACACATATAAAGAAAATCAATGACCCCCGGGGCGGGGCCAATTTTGACCCCCGGTCTTTTATTTGAACAAACTTTGTACACACTCACTAAAAGATGTTTCATGCTTAATATCTTAGCCATAGCTTTTTGAGTTCTTTAAAAGAAGATTTTTTAAGTTTTTACTATATGCATATAGGGAAAATCAATGACCCCCCCGGGGCGGGGCCAATTTTCACCCCAGGGCTTTTATTTGAACAAACTTGGTAGACACTTATAAGAACATGTTTCATGCTATATATCTTAGCTCTAACTCTTTTGGTTCTTTAAAAGAAGATTTTTTAAGTTTTTACTATATGCATATAGGGAAAATCAATGACCCCCCAGGGCGGGGCCAATTTTGACCCCCAGGGCTTTTATTTGAACAAACTTGGTAGACACTCACTAGAAGATGTTTCATGCCAAATATCTAAGCTCTAGCTCTTATGGTTTTTTAAAAGAAGATATTTAAAGTTTTTTCTTTCGGTTGCCATGGCAACCAGAGTTCTGCATGGAATTATATTCTTTGAACAATTTTTAAAGGTGACCACCAAAGGAACATTCCTGTGAAGTTTGGATGAAATTGGCTTAGTGGTTTATGAGGAGATGTCATTTAAAGTAAAAGTTTACGCACGGACGCCGGACGGACGCCGGACCCAAAGCGATCACAAAAGCTCACCCTGTCACTTTGTGACAGGTGAGCTAAAAAATTCCCTATATCAGACCAATTTGATGTCAGAAAGCCCAAATAATATGTTCTGCATGTCTTGTCATTAGAATTAATATTTCTGCCTGTTTTCTTTAGGTCTAAAGATACAAAGAGGTCACAGTATTTTGAAATTTCGATAAAAAAATTACTAAGTGTGACCTTGCTATGACCAAGATCAAACCTGCTCTCTGTACATTATTTCATTACGGTTTATTATCTTGAAAGAATTTTCAATTTCTTTTTAAGGGTTTATTAGACAAAAACCGCACACAAGACAACCAGGTGCATAACATTATAAGGTTAAACTTTTTAGCAATAATAAAACATGACTGTTAACTACACATTACTTCATTAACCTTTTGTAACTTGATAATTTGATTAAATGCCTATTTCTACGCATAAAACATATTAAAAGACATTAAGAACAGTAATTTTAACTAGAACTATCACTAAATGTGATTAATACCCCTGCAAGACTGCTTCGGAAATAAGGAAGTCATGGTACTAGTAACAGAATACCTTGCAAAAGAACTGAAATAGAGTTATGGTTGTGGGCAATTAAAGAAAGTTGTGGTTCTTGTATGTTGCATTTCCTTTAAATGTGGTTGACCATTGATGAAGTTTTATTGAATTACTTTGTAAAGAGCCCAAAAAGAGTTACGCTTCTTCAGCACTGCATTTCGTCTCATTGCGCTTGTCAATCGAATGAAGTTTAATTGAATTTTAAGTTATGCACCTGACAAGGAAAAGTATCAAAGGGCAATAACTCTGTTATTTGTCAAATGGTGTTATTGTTCTTGTGCACTTCACTTCCTCTTAATGTGCTTATGATTGTATGAAGTTGTATTGAATTCCAACAGTTAGTTTTCAAGTTATGCTCGACCGACCGACCACCGAGTGACCTCCCCATATAAATACACATCATTATAAATTGACATAATTGATAAAAAGAATTAGAATGATTTTGTGGAACAACATAAACATACATACACACACAAAAACATATGCATACACACATATACAAATATCACACATTTACATACACATAAATATCTCCCTCTATCTTTCGGTCTCGAAGACAAATATTTACAGTACAGTAATTTTCTAATCACATTTCAATATTCTACATTTTTTTGACACAGTCACTAAATTATTAAAAATACATGTGCATTTCAGTATATTTCATTATTGTATTATTATAATGTTTTTTTTTATCTGGACTTCTTTATATTAAACCTATGGCTGACATGAGGAAATCTAAATCATAAATGAAATTATTGAAGATTAAATTTGATCAATCATTTATATGTAATCATCTTACCTCCTCTATGAGCTTAACCTTTGCCAGACTCTTTACACTTCCCCTCCAAAAAAGATCAACTTTCTCCCCCTCATCGGTTTGGAGGAAAAATTTGGGTGCTAGCTCCTCAGGACTTATGCACGAACAAATTTTGTCAAATAAGTCCTGAAAATGATATCTTAAAAATTATTCAAGAGAAAAACCTATCTTTAAACGAAAATCATCAATTTCATACGAAGCATATATAATTCTTGCAATTTCTTTAAGAAATCTTATATGCCTATTTTAAAATCAGGTTGTCTTTTTATATATTTGCATACTTTCAAATCTCAATAAAAATAATGGTGAAAACTTACTTGCACTGTATCATTCTGGGTAATTTGTATACAATACCCCTTCCTCTGTCTGTTTTCGTAGAAAACAACAACCACATTCTCCCCCTCTTCGCAACTTTTTTGCTGTAGTCTCTCCATTGCCATCTGTGAATTTTACAGACAACCATAAGTATAACAGAAGAATAATTGTGTTCCATAAAGAAATAAAAAATTGTAATTGTAAATAAACAAATGCCAAAAAGCTTGACGCATACATTTGTATTAAAATTAAACCAAAGTTATAATAAAAAAGAAGTGTGGTAAGAGAAAAAAAATAGCAAATACATCATATACTGTATATATAAAAATTTTCGCGGGCTTCAATTTTCCTTGATTTTCGCTGTGACATTCAGTTAGCGAATTCATGTTTAGAGCAAATATTTCTACACCGATAATTTCTAAATATTCATATTTTTGTGCTTCTATAGAACAATGCAGTTCAGTGTGTTATATATTTTCAATACAAATGATTTTATTAAAATGTTACTGATTGTGTTTTATTTGCCAAGTGTTTCATCAGTTAAAACTGTTTATGTTTGTGGTGTTTGTAATGTTTGTTTAGAAATACAAAATATGACCTTATCAGATGTCAAGACCTTTCTGGCCCAAACTTTGACCTTGTTTACCTGGTCTCATTGTATGCCAATTTTGTAACTGACCACTAACTGAACAATCAATGGACCTTCAGCTCTCAAACTTAATTGATGCTTTGGTTTTGGCCAGTAAATTACCCCTATTTAATTTAGGGTCATCTGCTCAAAGGTCAATGCATGTTATACAAACATTTTATGTCTATGTATTCTATATTTGCTTTAACTACAACTATATTTCTAGAAATTCCTCCCTATTTAATCCATAAGGTACTAATGATGTTAATGAGAATGGACATACTTACAACTTTTCTTTCCTGCAGTCTGTTCTGCCTCTACATAACAAAAGATCATATAATGAGAACTCAAATACTCTACTATTAAAAGAGATACTTTTTTGTTCAATCACAGCATTTTTGGTTTCATCATGACTTTAACATAGACTTACAAGTATTACAATATTACATCAGATTTCATCAATTATACATATCGGCTATAAAACTCATATTAATAAAATATAGAATTATATCATTTTATCACATTCGGTTTCAAGGCTGTTCACTATATTAATCTTTAGTTGAAAAACGATATTTTCAATATTAATAGAATAAATTGCTCTTACATCAAGACACTGTTAATTCATCAAATTTATTCGAAATTTGAGTTACCAATTACATAATGTTGAAATAAATTTAAAAAAGTTTTTTAAGATATGATAAACAAAATTTAAATTCATAAAGTTAACAAGATAAAGTTATTTACATTTATGCTAGGACAATATGTAATAAAGAATTTGAGTTGTCAATATAAAATATATCCTATTGGTACCTGTATATAAAGCTGCATTTCTAAACTGCTGTCTTCCATCTAAAAGAAAAAATTCTTTAAAAGTATTTGTTTCAATAAGTACTTGCATTTAAATGAATCATTACATTAAATTGTGCACACATTTCATTTCAGTCCAAAAACTTGAAATGAAAAACAAGTATTCGAATGTAAGTGAGAAGTACACACTAAAAGCTTAAAGCATTTTTTCTATAATCAAGCCAATTTAAACACACCTGTTGGTCAAATCTCAGTGGTCAATCTACATTAATTTAAAGGGACAAGTTATAATAGTCATTCTCGTTGCGTTACAATCCAGTAAGTCTTAACAAACAACAGCAATTAATGATGGGCATCATAGCGATTTTTGTTTTGTCACTTTATGTTTCATGTAATCAAGTTGATGTTTACCACTGTTTGTATTAAACCTGGCCACAGGAAAGTCCTATTCTTGTGGCTGATGGCCTTGGACAGCAACTGACTGCTATATGCAGCAATTTATATAGGGAATGTCTCAGAGGAAATCAACATGACAAAGTGATTTGCAAATGATTGTTAGCTCAAGTTAGACTGTAGTGCATTTTTTTACTATTCAAATGTTTGTATAAAAACAAACAATCCTCTATATAACAATAATCTACCTCATCATCCTGATCTTCTACAGTGATATCTGCCTCCAAATCTTCTCTATCCTCAACAATGTTTTCCCGCCTCCTCTATAAGGTTAAATCAAGTAAAATTACTAAAAATATATCCCCCTTATTTCCATACACAAATGATTTGACTGAAGCTTTTTAGTATTGTGATATTGAAATGATTATGATACAAAGAGCACAATATTGAGTGGTGTCATAACAGTCATTAAGAATTTTAATATTACAAGCTCAATTTTTAAACTAAATCTTAGCAAAAATGTAAGTTCATGTACTAGCAGTATAAAAGTAAACATTTTTAGTAACAAAATGCAAAAGCTTGTCCCAATATCACTGTTTCAAGGATGGACTGACAATAAAGGTGGATGCATACTCAGTTTAATCAATGTTCTCTGACTTTTTAAGTAAAAATTGTACATGAGTTTTTCTGAAAGTTGAACTAGAACATCATTTCAAAGTACATGCTGCAATAGAAAAGGAATTATTTTTCTCACTAACCAGATAGAAAAATCCTTAAATGTTACTAAAAATAGCGGTGTTGGAAAATCTTATCTCACATGGGCTTATCTCACACTCAACGTGCAGCAGTTCTAAATAATACGCGATTCACTCCTATTTTAACAAAAATTAAACGTCAAAAGGTCAAAATGTATTTAAAATTTGTAAGCTTATCTATTCTATCTATTAAATTGTCTACGGAATCAAAATAGATTGATATTAACTTTCACACTGCAATGAGTCCTACTCTACCTAGATCCGCCCTTTCCAATAACGATCTGTTACTAAAAATAGCACACTTTAAAATATCGAAACGTTCTTCGTAAAATCGGATATTATGACACTTTGCCTGAAAAACATTCATGTTTTTTGTTATGATAACGATGCTTTTTGATGACGAATCTCATTTTGATATATTTTAATTGAATATTCGGCCAAAATAACCGAACAAGTAGAAAAATATTTGCAAACGGTAAACGCTTTTTTGTCAACCATTGAAGTATGGACTGAATTCCTTATAAACACTTATATTATGGCACTTTCCGTTTTTAATATCGATGTGTTTCATCATGATAACCTTGCTTTTTCATGAGGGGTCTCATATGAATTTATTTTCATTAAATTTTCACACATAAACTTGGTCAGAAGAATTTTTTGCGGACGTACATAATGCTTTTTAATCATAGAAAGTCAGGCGCCTAAGCCCCGCCCCCTTTTCAAAACTAGGTACGTTGTAATGGGCGTAGCAAGTAGATTCACTGATATTTGTGTGTTCAGGTGAGTGAGAAAAATAATCAACCATTGGGTAAGATAGAGGATAGGGAAATCCCAACTCTCGGGCAATCGGTTCCATCGGGAACTCGCCAAGGCTCGTTCCCGATCGAACCGATCACCCTCGGGTTGGGATTTCCCTATCCTCTATCTAACCCAATGATAGATTCTATTATGCTTAAATAAAATGGCACAATTGTGTTTCTTTCTTTGTCATTGTAATTTTCAACTAAATGGTAAATGATTCAAGGCTTTGGTACAAAAAGAAGTGGCAAATGTTTGTAAATTATGTATGCAATTCCTCATGGAAATTCCTCAAGTTCTGACCAGTCTACAAGGTTTATCTACCACACATGACCGACCTACACACCAAATATGATTTCTTTCATTTTTTTTTCTTTTTGTTGCAATCAGAGTTCTGCATGTAATTCAATTCTTTGAACAATTTTTAAAATTTACCATCCCAGGAACATTCCTGTAAAGTTTGTTGCGATGTTCTAGCTTTACTGGTGGATAAAGACCTCAAGTACCCTTCTGTGTATTTTTTCAGGCATGAACAGGCACCTGATCAAAAACCACTGACCTTCCATAAGCTAGCTGGATAGCTTCCTTAGAGGAAAGAATCCAAAGTCACTGTCGGAATTCAAACCCACAGTGGTGAGGGGCAAGTGGTTTATGAGTAAATATCATTTAAAGTAAATGTTTACAGATGGACATATGCCAGACAAATTGCAACAAAAAAAAAGAAACCTAAAAAACAAGAATATCTGCAGAGGACAGCCCCAACATCACTGTAGCCATAAAAATGAATATCATACCTTTCTTAAATTTGCTATCTCAGGCAAACTTTCCTCATCATCTTCTTCATAATCATTTAATGCTCTTTCTCCTGTCACCTGCAATATTCAATTAGTATTCTACTCCTTTTTTATGTCTTTTCCTTGAAATAATGTTTTTTCTTCTTTTATGAACAGCAATACTTTTTAATCAAAGTAAGACGGTCATAATTAAAGTTAAACACATTTGGTGACAATATACATAGATAATTTTATAACTTAAAATAAATTTATAGAGCTTATCTCTTGAATAATATATCTTCCAATATAATTGTTTGAAGAATGGACTAATATTGAAAGAGAGTGCATACTCAGTTTAATCAATGTTCTTTTGCCTTTAAAGTTTTGCTATTACAAATACATACTGTAACAAGAGCACCGCTAGGCGGAGCATTATATGCCTGAAAGTACTCTTTCTTTTAGTGAGGAAGACATGGGAATTAAATACAGTATTACCTCCTTCAAAAAGCAATCCTCCTTTATAGCTGAAGAACATTCATGTATATATACAGTTGCTGTTTTCAAAGCACCACCATCAAGTTGTTATCATGTAAGTAAAAATGCTACAATGGATGGACACCAAGATGTCAGGGGTATAAAGCTGTTAATCATATAAAATCTTACAGCTGTAGTTCAATTAATACTTGAGTTATTGAGCGAAAACTGTTTCCAGTTTATAGGTGATAGTAATCCCTTGATCTTTGACCTTGTGACCCCAAAAATCAATAGCGGTCTTCTACCCAATATGAACAATCATCCTATGAAGTTTGAATACTGTGGGCCAAATGGAACTTAGGTTATGCTCCGGAAACCATTTTCAGTATTAAGCTAATGGTGACCTTGACCTTTGACCTTGTGACCCCAAAATCAATAGGGGTCTTCTACCCAATATGGACAATCATCCTATGAAGTTTGAATACTGTGGGTCAAATGGAACTTAAGTTATGCTCCGGAAACCATTTTCAGTATTTAGCTAATAGTGACCTTGACCTTTGACCTTGTGACCCCAAAATCAATAGGGGTCTTCTACCCAATGTGGACAATCATCCTATGAAGTTTGAATACTGTGGGTCAAATGGAACTTAAGTTATGCTCCGGAAACCATTTTCAGTATTTAGCTAATAGTGACTTTGACCTTGTGACCCCAAAATCAATAGGGGTCTTATACCCAATATGGGCAATTATCCTATGAAGTTTGAATACTGTGGGTCAAATGGAACTTAAGTTATGCTCCGGAAACCAAATTGCTAACAGACGGACGGACGTACGGACGGACGGACGGACGCCAGGGGGTATAACAAAATATGCCCGAAATTCTTTCGGGCATATAAAAAGGAGTTACCTTAAAAGAAATAGAACACCTATGGGTCACAGGAAAAAGAAGCAATAAATATTTGAGAAATATGACATGCAAACAATATAACAATATTTTTTGGGGTTGAAAATTTACTTCACACCAACACAGTTTAAGTTGTATGGCTACTAGTGGTCTCTCAATGCATTTTTCAATCATGAGCATGCACCCAAGCAGAACCATAGACATTCTGCATGTTAGCCAGATGAATCCAAAGTCCCTGTCTGGTATGGTTCAAACCATATGAAGTGAGGGGCAGGAGTCAACAATCTTAACCACATTAATCTAAACTATTATTTCTGCCCAATCTAGTCCAGACATGACCAACCTAAAAAATCTGAAGATTGTTAACTAAAATGTTCTCTAGTTACATGTCAGACAAGGTATGGTCTAAGAATAGACTAACAAACACCCTGATGCTGTACAAGACAAATATACCCAAAATCTTTTAAGAGGGGTTGGTCATTAAGAACCTTTACCCCATATAGACATGTTTTGACGGCTTTTCACACATCCCCCTCATTTGAGGCCTAAGATACCTTAACACAGTTTTGAGCTTGCTAAATGTTGTTAAAAAAGTGACCACTTTGAAATCAGTTTTGATGGAATAATGATTTTCGGCAATTTGGAGAATTTTTAAGTTTGAGTATGCTGTTACAAAGGCTATAGTCCAGGCAACATTTGTGCCAAGTTTCGTTAGTATTGTAACATTTTTTATAGTTTCATAGCAGATTGAACTTTTTACAGAGTGACAGCAGTTACTTTTAAAATCAAGATTGACAAACAACATTAAATGCTCCCAAAAATCCTCCTACAAGTGTGGACATAGCATTTCATATCAATATCATACCTTTCTTAAAGCTGGTGATGCATGGATTCCTCCTTCTCCATCCTCATCTTCTTCTTCACTAACATCAACATCTTTCACCTGCAAGATTTTAATGTTGCTCTTCTGAGCTTTTTTTCTTGGATATTTGTGGAAAGAACAGATATCTTATTTTATTAGGTGTTATCCTTTATTTATAGAAATAACCTAGACTGATTAAGATAGTTTGAACAGTTTATTGAAAATGCTGGGCCTAAAAGTGAGACATATTCACTGACAAAATGCACAGAATATTCTTAATTTTTCATGTGAAAAATATATATATAAAACAAGATCCATTTTCTTGCCAGTAAAAAATTTTCAACAAAGCGAACTCAGTTATGGAAGGAATAGATATTGTTAACAAAGTCTTAGAAGTTTACAGTTATTGTGAGAAAAATGCAATCAAATTTTTTACTCTTTATAAAAGCAAACAAATAGATAATAATGCTTACCTATATAAATACAGAAAATTGTCCAAAAAGGTACAAAGGCTTGTTATTAAGATGTTTTATCAAGTTAATCACTGCTTTATTATTATAAAATCCATAAAATTGTTCATAAAACTAAAAGGCACAAACCCTTAAGTAGTAAAACATATTTGCTTAACCAAGAATTTCTAAGTAGAAAAAGGGGCATAATTATGCAAAAAGGAAATCAGAGTTATTTGGCTTATGCCAATCATATTAGATAATCACAGAGAACAAGTGTGTTTAGTTTCAATCCATTCCCTTTAGTAGGTATGGAGATACCAGCTTGAAGGCAAAAACTTTACCAAGATTTTCTATGTAGAAAAAGGGGCATAATTATGCAGAAAAGCATATCAGAGTTATGGGACTTGTGCCAATCATTTTAAATAATCACAGAGAACAAGTGTGTGAAGTTTCAATCCATTCCCTTGAGTAGTTATGGAGATACCAGCTTGCACGCCAAAAACTTAAGTACAGGGACGCCGACAAATGGGTCGATTATTCTACGAATAGTCAAGCTAAAAATCATTTTTTCTTCCTTTAATTTTAACAGGTCTGTCTAGACACACTTGCTGTGTTGTGTCCAAGTATGTATCCTTTCCATAAATTAATGACATTGGCCAAGTATGAATAGTTTCCTCATATGCTCATGCAAACACAGATTCAATATCAAAATTATACCTTTCTTAAACTTGGTATTTCAGGCAATTCTTCTTCATTATCATCTTCTTCTACCTTATCTTCTGCAATGTCATTCCTTCCTTTAGCTCCTTTAACCTGAAAGATTTTAAAGTGACATTTCACATATCCAAACTGTAAATAGTGAGTGAACAGAAGAAAGTCCAAATAAGTTTACATTTTGTCATGATATCATTCAAAACCAAGTAAATTACTCTAAATATCCTTCAGAAACTACCTAAGTAAAATATAAAGAGTGAAGCAAACAGATTTACACTTTATTGCAAACATTTTATAATAATTTATGTTGCTCATCATCATCAACAGTCAATCATCACCATTATAACAGTCAATCTTTTTAAATATTATAGTCAATTAAGTTGGATTTGACAATTACTAGATGAGTATAATGTTACTTTATAGAGCTCTACTGAGCTTTTCTGTAGAAAAGTATTACATCTTTTATCAAATTTGGAAAAGTTGCAGAAATACTTTTCAGTGTAAACCTTTAAACTTTATTTTCTTAGCCAAAGTTTAGCTTATTACCTCTTTTCTACCATCATCTTTTGTCAGATCAACTACTTTTTTTCCATCCTCCTGCAAATTTGAAATTCAGTTTTATCATTACACTTTCTTAAGATTTTTTTCTTGAACAACACTTGAGTAATATTTTAATCTCCATTTTCAGAAATATTCAGTACAATAAAAAACATATAGGTTTATTAATTATTTTATGAAGCTCTGAATGACAACACTTCATATACATGTAAACCCATTTTACTTCATTTGATTATATATTTTTAATCACAAATAATGAAATAATTTCAATTGTACAGCTTTGAAATTGATTTTACTGATTGTTTGTTTGCTTTAAGTTTATTTGCATACAGCAGCAATAACATCTTTTAAATGTATCAATAACATACCAGATTTTTATTATGCCATTTCCTTTTTCAAAAATAACTAATATTTCAAATAAATATATGGAAATAATCAGAACTCGTAACAATAAGCAATTAAACTAGGGGGCTATGATGGCCCTAAATCACTCACCTGAGTCAGAATACTTGTTTATTTTGGTCTTTTAAAGAAGATTTTTTGTTTGTCTTTTACTATATATGCATATAAGGAAAATCAATGAGCCCCTGGGAGGGGTGAATTTTTACCACAGGTTTTTTTTCTATTAAATTGGCAGACACTCACTAGAAGATGTTTCATGCCAAATATCTAAGCTCTATCACTTTGGGTTTTTTAAAAAGAACCTTTTTGGTTTGTTTTTACTTAATGTAAGGAAAATCAATAAGCCCCCTCCAACGGGACCAATGTTAACCCCACAGCTTTTATATGAACAAACAAACACCCATTAGAAGATGTTTCATGCTTAATATCTAAGCTCTAGCTATTTGGAGTTTTAGAAGATTTTTTCAAGTTTTTAATAAGACTATATAAGGATAATCAATGACCCTCAGGGACAGGACAAATTTCTACCCCAGGGCTTTTATATGAACAAAATGGTAGACACTCACTAGAAGATGTTTCATGCCTAATATCAAAGCTTTAGCTATTTGGGTTTTTAAAAGAAAGATTTTTTAAGTTTTTAATATAAACATTTATTACCCTTCCAGATTTTTTCCGCCTTTTTGATTGGATATTGATCACCAGAAAGAAATTGATTTAACCGAGCCAGACGGGTACCCAACGTTGTAAACAACATGCGCTGAGGTGATGCGCATACGGTTTCGATTTTACGCGGTGTAAATTCCGATTTAAAAGCACTTTTTAACTGTCAAATGATAAATATTTACCAAAGTAGAGTAATGATACATATTACCATCAGTATCGAAAACAAATATGACCTTGTGAAAGCTTGATATTAATTACAAAAAAGTGCGTTCAATACACTACTCCTTTTCTCCTGTTTACATTCGTTAGGTACGGGAAAAAAATACGTCCTGTATTTATGTGGACGTCATGTTGTGACGAAGAGGTACCCTAAAAAGGAATCTTATTTCGACGTTTCATTTAAACAGCAACGATTTTTTTTTAAAAAAATTGTCTAAACTCGGCAGGGGGAAGGGTAATAAAATTATTATTTTTGGTTTTGGAGTGATATATGTGGATATAATTACCTGCCAGATAAATATCACCCCTCGGCCTAACGGCTCGGGTGATATAAAATCTTAACAGGTAATATATCCACATATATCACTCCAAAACCAAAATAACATATAATATGGATAATCAATGACACCCTAGGATGGGGTCAATTTTGACCCCAGGGCTTTAATTTGAACAAACTTAGTAGACACTCACTATAAAAAGTTTCATGCTTAATATTTAAGCTATAGCTATTTGAGTTTTTTAAAAGAAGATTTTTTTTTAATTTTTCTTTCAGTTGCCATGGCAATCAGTTTTCATGGAAATAAATTCTTTGAACAATTTTTAAAGGTGACCACCAATGGAACTCATTTAAAGTAAAAGTTTAAGAATGAATGCCAGATGAACAACGATCACCAAAGCTCACCATGTCACTTTAAGACAGGTGAGCTAAAATCTAAAAGCTTAACAATGAAACTTCATACCTGAACACATTCAATATCATGATAACAGTAACATTTTTACATTTAACAATGATATAATATGGTCATGCAATACCTTTATTTCAACCACAATTTTTATTTGAAAGCAAATTCATGAAATCAATATTCCCAATTGATTGATTTGAAACACTAAAGTGAAGCCACTTAGTATTAAGTACAGTTAAGCCTAAATATCATATTCTAATGTAGTATTACTGTCCCTATGAACTGCATCACTCTAAATGGCATTTAAATGTTAATACCTTAAATACTTTAATTTAAACTCACAGCTACCGCAACAAATTAAATAGGAAATGTCAATGAAGCATAAGTTGTAAAGGGTATAAAGCTAAATGTTATGAAACAATTTAATAAAAATTTATAGAAAGTTATCAATAGAAATATATAGCTTTCATTAAACATTCTAACACAACATAAAATATTATTTTGCAACCAAATATGTTCATGTCATGTGTCATTAATGTATTATATGTTTTATTTAAGAAATAATATATCCCAAACAGTGATTCTATAGCTCAATAACATCACTGTTTGGAGTTCGGATGCGAGGAATTATATCACGAGTGCGTAGCCCGAGTGATATAATGATGCGCATCCGAACGACAAACAGTGATGTTATCAAGCAATAAAATCACTGATTTTGATATATTATTTCGATTCTAACACGACATCAACAAATAAATGTTGCCGTACTTGATAGTTAAGCGAAATTGCGCCTGACTTGTTTCCGTACTTATTTTCAGCGCGTCGGATTTTTAGTGGTTACGTCACGTGTATAATGATGACGTCACATGTCTAAATATAGAACGTCAAACTGTGCATCTGTTGCATAATAACACACACTTTCTGTTCTTCTATGTTCAATAGGGAAAATTGCGGGTCATGTTAGAATTGTATATATAATATGGTGATGAGCTTTTTATGCTTAAACGAAGAGACAAAGTTTCTGTTCTGTTCTATACCATAATTCAGAAAAGTTGTAGCATAAGATATCATGGTATGTTTAATGACATTTTTATAGAGGTACCTAGAAATCACATTTATTACAATTTAAAATTACTTATGTAGGATATTTTGTTCAAGCCTACCTTTCAATGTGTCAGATATTTAAAATTCCAATAATTATCAAGTTAACAAAGTTAATTAATGTAAAATATCAGAAATCTAAAGTGTCATAGAGAAACACCAGAGGAAGTATTTTATTATTCGATGAAGTCTTATATTTATACAAGTCTTATATTTATGTATATTTTTTGTCATATACATCAAGTGGATAATTGTGTACATGCTAGAAGTATTTTTAACAGATCAATATACAACACATATTTTTGAATATTTTGCACTTGTGTTGTTTGTCTTTTTTATTTTTTCAAACCTTTGTAAATCACTTGAAATGTATTGAACTTTTAAATGAACAACCCTTCCTTCTACAGAACAAATAAACTAACAAAGCATGTAACATAAAGATAAACATAATACTTGGTGTATTATAAATCAAATAATTGCAAACATCTTTCAAACAAAGATTGGATGGTAGGCAAAATAGGCATAATGTTTTCTTAAATAATAGAATGTGTCTTCTTTCAATCAATTCCAATGACACAAAGATGAAATACCTTCTCTTTACATAATTATTGCAAATGCACATTTTATAAATGTGTTGTAGAATTATACAAATGTATTTACAAGTTATATCACATAAAAAGTTTAATGCCTATTAATTTATTTTTATAATTACTTATTTTCACTTATTATGTCCAATTTTTAACCATTCCATCCAAACTCATATAAATATTTAATACAATATAGACCTTTTCTGTTGTCTCTTTCTCCACTCTTTTCAGATTTTTAAATTTAACTTGAAGCTGGGATTTCTCTAACCATGATAAATATAATATATAAGTTCACACTTTGTTTCAGTGAAAGCAATTGAAGAATTTAAATTTTGTGTATGTCCCATATTTGAAGCAAAAAAGGTTAAAAAAATAAAAAACAAATAAATAAATTGTACCAGATTCAACATTTTCTTTTTCCTTTTGATGATTATATATAAAAACTTACAAACATATTTAATATTTTTTAAGTGCTTTCAAACTGGAATGGCAATCTTTCTTTTTTCCATATCAACTTAATTCAAATGAAAGTTTTATGTCATCCCTTGTTTCTGTTCTGTATAAAAAACACAATGTTCATCTGTTTGGTACACAAGCCACATGCAAATTCAAGCGCATATAGACAAATCATTTTATATAATCAAGTGTTCAAGCATAAATCTATTATATGATTATAAACAAGAGCTGTCACTGGACACAGTAAGGAAAACAAAATCAATTATGTAATATTACGTATTAAGTTACAGTAAAAATATAACATTTGTTTACATAAATTCCAAGTTCAAGGGGGAATAATTCTGGAAATAGTCATGCTAAAGTTATGAACCTTGTCACACAACATGTGAGTAATGATAAGATATATATATGAAGTTTTAAGTACATACCTTAAAAAGTAAAGAAGTTATAATATTTCTTAAAGAAAATCCTAAATTCAAAGAGAGATTAATCTGAAAAATGCTTGTGTTGTTATGAAGCTTTTCACATAAGATGTAATTTATGATAGGGAATAGGTATTTACAGTTTGAGGTAGATACCTTTAAAACTAAAGAAGTTATAGGAAAAATTAACATTTTCAATTAAAAAATCTATGTTTATGGGGAGATAATTCTTGCAATGTTGGTGCTCGAGCTATGAACCTTGTCACATAAGAGGTGGTTAATAATAAGAAACATATATTTGAAGTATGAAGTTGATACCTTAAGAAATAAAGAAGTGACAGTAAAAAAAAACAAAATTTTTAAAGGAAAATTCAAGAAACATATATTTGAAGTTGATACCTTAAAAAATGAAAAAGTAATAGTGAAAAATATTTTAATTCACCAAAACTTTAAACTGAAATCTGGACGCGGACACAGACATGGAGGCAGGTAGGACAGCTCTCAATATACTTTGTATAGTTAAGCTAAAAAGTACTTTCAATGTAATGAAGTCATACTTATTTCATGCTTTCTAGTGTTTTACTATAATATATCAGATGATTATTATTATAAAATATCATTTTCACTGCAGCCGGACTATATCTGAATGTGCATGAAAAGAATATTATAACTAAATGGAATTACAGACAAAAATAAAAGCAGTCATACGTAAATATTCCTTCTTTAAGGAAAGAAAATTGATGTCATCATTTATCATGTTAAAAATGTAACAAAATTAGAAAGATTTCACAGCACTATACACGTATTTCAAAATTGATGATGTGACGTCATGATGTGATGACATAAAATAGGAATATGCGCGACGTTACCCAGCAAAATTAGTAAACTATACTTAAAATAATTAAAAAAGCATGAAATAAAAAGAAAATTTATTTGTTTTACTTATAATATTGAAATATATTTCATTTGTGAACACCAGCTATTCTATTTCACTTGTTGCTATGCCACTCGTGAAAATATTGCATCTGGTGTTTACTCAGTGAAATATATTTCAATCTTACATGCAAAACAAACAAATATCCTCTATATGTACACATACACTATTTTCACTTACTCATGTTAGTTAAAACATAGCACAGGTTTTCTTTTCTTTTTTTTGTTCTGGCTTTCATGATAACATCATTGACATTGTCTGCCTTATGTTCATTCTCTAAAAAAAAGCAAATTTTTAACAGTTAAAATATAATGGCATATACATAAGCTAATTTATTATTATTATTATCATGCAAGACTACAAATAGTGCTTGATCACACTTCATTATCTTCAAACAAAAGCCTGGATAATGCCTGATAATGGGTCTTGGAAAGTGACCTTGAACTGCAATTCAAAAACAAGAACTTTAGGAAGATACATATATTGCAAACAATCTTTAACACAGATTTTTCAGATTAAAATCTTTGCTAGAGTTATGGGCCTTGGACAATGACCTCTAAAAAATAATGTCTCCAAAGACATGTATTAAGTTCATTTTCTACCTGTAATAGTTATAAGTAATGTCATTGTATGCAAAATTAAAAACAAGCATAAGTATCATTATAGTATTAAAAATGTAACTTTAATTTTTAAAGTAAATTTTAAAGTAAATAATAATTCCTTTTTTGCTGAATAATGTTTGTATTTTCTTAATTTGAAGTGTACAATTGGAAATGAAAATACTTACTTAAAAATAATGTATCATTAAAATATGTAAATGTACATAATATGTTTTTAATATTTATTTAAAAAATAATGTATCATTAAAATATGTAAATGTACATAGTATATTCTTTTTGTTTGACAGTGTGTATTAATATAAAAAATATGATGAATATATAAAAGTACTATATTTAAAAGTACTGATACTTAATTACTTCCTTAAAAAAGTACTGGTACTGCAGTACCGAGCTAAAATCTAGTACTGGTACTGGTAATGGTACTGCATAACTTAGCAAGTACTGGTACTTAAGTACTATACCCTTAGTACTGATGCAGCTGTACTTTGTTATTATGATCACTTAGATTAAATTTTAAATGGTTACCTTCAATTGTTTGAAGAATCATGTAACATGCCAAAATTTAACCAAGAAATCCCTTAATTATTATTCTTTCAAAATCTATACCACAGATTTGGGCATTGGAAAGCAAACCTATCATTCTCTCATTATGCAGTTACAAGCAAATATCATTTAATAGTGGTTGGTAATATATGATATAGAGTGCATAAAATCTTTGAACAACATAGATATGCTGACACAAGACCAATGTGATTAGATAGCTAGCCCCACTTTTATTCAAAAAGTAGAGCTAAATACATAGATCTGCATCTAACATTTCAGTATATAAATGATGGTAGGCTCTTATAATTAAAGAAAATGCCTCCTTTAATCACAGATAATAGTTTATAAATTGATTGACTTTAAGAATACACAGTAACAATTATAAAGGATTGCAAATAATTACCATATATTTTTTCCGAATAAAACTGCATCTTGCACTCTTCAGAAACGTTCAACAGGCTGACAAGCAATGCCTTCCATTCTTTACATGTCGACTTGCCCCCTACATGCAAGAAGACCTTGCTGCACCTTGCAGCCTTCTGCTCCACACCCACCATTATGAAGCAAATTTTCTGAAATTTTGTTTAAAACTCATAGACAAAGATGTAAAATCTTACAAAAAAAAGGAAGACATACCAGCATTTTATAAAATAAGATTCAATGAAAATAAATATTCAACATAATTATTGTCACTACTAGCCCAATGAAATAACCAGTTACCCCTGAAGTACAAATTAAGTGTCCTACCTATTCACTTTTGGCTGATTTAATAAAAACAACAAAACAATTGGGGACTTCTCAATGTTTTGATGAAAGAAGATTCTGATAACATGAGCATCGCATGCAGTATAAACACCTGTCTGTTAAAACTTCTAAGTTAAAACTAAGTGATAACTAAAAAATTATTGCTTTTAGAATTAAGCCCACTTTTTTTAAAACCACACCTTATCATGATAAGCAACTATTCCAATGTCATGTTGAAAATATGTTTGAAAGATTTATTTCTTTATGATGATGATGATGCAGCAATCATAGTAGCTTGATTTTTTCCCCCAATCCAGATAAGCTATTCTTTTCAGGACAGGATGGTTCTTGTTTCAATGCATTAACAATGCATCAAAATCTTCTTTTACTTGAAAACTAATTTTAGTTTTTCTGTAAACAATTTGCAATCATTAGCAAAATATATACTCACAACATTAGTATCTCCCTTGCTATACTTTCTTTTCAGGAAGTTTATGGCGGTGTTTACTCTTTTATCTGTCTGCAAATCTATGCAACATAAATGCATGTATAAAAGTTATTAACAATCATGTATACTGTAACATATTCAAATGAGTAGTTGCTATAGTGTGATACAATATGCACAATATTTCCAACCCTGGGGGCTGGTTAATTTTGACCCAAGGGGCATGATTTTTTTAACTATTGTAGACAATCAAATGATGATTCTACATGCCAAATATCTAAGCTCTGGGCATTGTAGTTTCTGAAAAAATGCTCCTGTTATCAACTTAAGCATCAGACAGGAACCTTTTATATAACTTTTGTACTGGACCAGCAAATTGTTCAGGAGATGTACAACGGTGAATGACTGTCCACAGACATTGCATACAAAGCTCATTTAGCTAAATATGCAGAATTGCAAATAAATTCCAATAACCATACCTCTATGACTTGACACTCCAGATGGTCCTGCCTGCTCCACTGAAGATTTTTCTTTAGTATCACCTACAAAAGTGTATAAGAAGAAATTAACTAACATAAGTTTTAATCACTTTATCCTCCTAGTTAAATTCAGTTTACATATTCATAATTATCACATAAACCGCGGCGCAGGAGTGTAATAAAGCCATTTAATAAAAACGATATAACACTAGTGTAATAACACTTTGACATGACGTCATTTGTGCTATATAAAAACATAGCGTTAAAACGCGCCAGTGTTAGCGTTACATTATGGGCGTGTCATTGAAAAATTACTCATTTCAACAGTTTACTGTTTTTATTTTATATATGTGATAAATAGAATATTATATTCGTGTAGATTTAATACTAAATTTATTGAACTTGTTGAATAAAACAATATTATGCTCGCCAGAGGCTCCCATAATATGATTTTATTCAACTTGTTCAATAAATTTAGTATTAAACTACACTCATTCAATATCCTCTATATAATTAGGTTATATTCAATGACACCTCCGCAAAGAGTCCCTATGTAGACCAATAGCCTCCTTTCAAGGTTAACAACAGATAGGGAAGAGTGATTTAAAACTAAGACAAACAAGAACAGGTTTGAATATCTGCAGTAACACGCAGTTTGAGATATTAATCATTTTAAAAAGAAATCTCCAGAAAAAGACAAAAAAGTAAGCTTAACTGATGTTGATTTTAAAAGTTCAATAATTCCAAAATTAGGCAAGGCAGAGTTACTGTTCTTTGCACTGCACTTCTAATCACTGTGATCTATCAACCTACAAAGTTTCTTGTTGATATCTCTCATGGTTTCCGAGTTATGTTCCGGACAACTTCAAAATATAAAAATGAACAAAGGGCAATTACTAAAAAAATTGGAAAGGCGGTGTTCAAGTTCTTGTGCACTGCACATCTACCCATTGAGATCCATCTACCTACAAAGTTTCATGTTGATATCTTTTGTAGTTTTAGAGTTATTTCCCAGACAAGATTTTTTAATAAGGGGAGATAATCAAAACATTGGGCAAAAAAGAGTTATGTTTTTTTTGTACTGCACTTTTACTCAATGAGATCAATCTACCAACAAAGTTTCATGTTGATGTATCTTATAATTTCCAAAACAAAGTTCAAAAAGTAAAAATAAACAAGGGCAATAACTCCATAATTAGGCAAGGCAGAGTTATGATTCTTGTGCACTGCACATCTACCCATTGAGATATATCCACCTACAAAGTTTCATGTTAATATCTCTTATAGTTTTACAGCTATGTTATGGACAAGATTTTTCTTAAAGGGGAAATAATTCAAAAATGAGGCTTAATAGAGTTATGGTTCTTTTCCACTGCATTTCTACTCAATGATATCTATCTACCTACAATGTTTCATCTTGATTTCTACTCAATGAGATCTATCTACATACCATGTTTCATCTTGATATCTCATCCCCCTTTACAGGTCAAGTAAAGATGTTTTTTCTTAAAAAAAAACTGCCACCTTTTTCTATTCACACTGTAATTATTTTCATATCTATAGATTTTACTACTTTGAACATAACATATCTACCTTGTGTGAAGTAAAAATATGTTTATTTTATATTTGAAAAAAGACCCTGGTGTAGCAATTATCAATATTTTCTAGTATCAAATTTGAGCATAGTGTATCTTTAATAAAAAATTAAGGTATAGCCCCTTTATAGCCACATTGGTCCATTTTAGTAATAATTTTAGGTAGGAAAACCAACTTAAACTGTTAGAATTATGAAACTTGAACCCCCCCCACACACACATACACAAATGCATTTGTTTGTTTATCTGTTTGTTTGATTGGGTTTTATGTCAAACCTACACAGTATAGGTCATATGGCGATGTTCCAGCTTTTCTGGTGGCGGAAGACCTTAGGTGCCCTTCCAGGCATGAACGGGATTCGAACCCACAGTGGTTAGGAACAAGTAGTTTAAAGGGACTCCACTGAGGTTTGAAAGCCTAAAAAACATAACATTAGAATTTCTTACTCAAATGAACTTGGGCGCTTTAAACAGAAATATATGCAAAGATAGTTAAGAAATTTACCTTAAAATAAATCAAAAATCGTAGTTTTATGCTTTTCTTAGCCTAATTTGAGTGAAAAGCATTTAAGCGCTTTTCATTTTGGGTCATATTTCTTTACAATTGGAATAATTACTATAGAAAAACGAAGTGCGCGAATGATCTGAAAGTTTGCACAAAGATTCGTGGTCAACACCTACATCAAATGGTACATTTATCTGGAAAAAATATTTTCAGTCCCATTATGCCAAAAAAACTCAGTGGATTCCCTTTAAAGTCAACGATCTTAACCACTCAGCAATGGACGCCCCCAAAAATGCATTAACTTTACATTAATATATCATTTTTGTCCAGGTATTAGTATTTTTCCATATACTAATTACAAAGTTTTACAAAAAAACATTGAAAATTCAATAATTACACCATCTTAAAATTATAAATAACCAAGTTCTCATCAGTTACAGTTTACAGGTGGCAAAATTGAATTATTTGACCTTAAAGAAGCATAATTCTGTCATATTAACAATAAGGAATTATTGATTTTGATGAAAAGAGTTGCATTGTGATATTCCTTTCATGGGCAAAGTGTCAGGTTAATATACTTGGACAGGATGGGACAAAATGATTCCTTTATAGCCCCCTAAAATTATGTTTGACAGGGGGGTGGGGGTTGGGAGGAGGAGAGGGGGGGGGGAGAAAACTGGTGTTCATTACAATTATGATGTGATTAATTTTTATCTAAATAAGGAATCCTGCCAAAATATATTAAAATCTAGTGTATGTATTGAGGTTATTTTTTTTTATCATCAGGCCATAGCTTAAATGCTTTTGCCCCTTTACAACTTTTGTAAAAATGTTTACAAATGAAAAATGAAACATACCTGGTACGCATTTTTTGCCACATTTACCACAGTACATGTGACCTGATGTAAGTTGCTCATCACAACTTGAGCATGTTTCTACGTCAATGGTTTTTGTCCCACATTCGAGACAAAACTTTCCATCTCTGCGGCACTTGCAACTTTCACAGTACATTCTTTTACCTATTCAAAATAGTTAAAAATCATGAGCAATAAATAGTAGTCTATTATAGCAATACTGCATGTTAACCAGTGTTTCTCAATTCTGTTCTAGACAGTGATTTTCCCTTATATAACAGATGCTATTGGGCCTTTTCCAAATGAATCATGTTGTTTTCCCAGATGTATGAACAAACACCAACATTTTTAATTTAAAAAAAATAGCAATTAATTTTTAATGGCTAAAGCCTGTTCCCAATTAATTAAAAAAAAACACTGGTACATATTGCTAACAGGGCAGAATAAAGCTTCTTGCAAATAATGCCTTTATTTAAATTTGTATTGAAATTTTAACCTTGTTATATTTACAAGTGTCATGAAAAAACCAGCACTATAGACCTGTATTACTAATCTTTGTGGCTGGACATAAAGCCTATTATAAGAAGGGCAAAGAAATTTACAAGTTTACAAACTTGTGTTTCATATAAGGAAGTCACTGGCTAGCTGCAAAAATTTCTAGCTGTACATGAGTCCATACAACTAGCCCATACACACTGTTGAGACTAGAAATATTTTATTGAACCTATTCTCAAACCTTTCATTCATGAGCTGTTATTTTTTTACTTGAAGTGACTTTGATGTCTTCAGTTTGTCTGCATAAAAGCTTAGTTTCTGATAGACATGTCTGCTGCTGTCAAATGAAAACAGTGCATAGGAACAAATATTTACATTACATATTTTATAATTTAGTGTAATTTGAATTTTCATACAAATTGCTATTACATTTGTAGGTCCTGTAAATACACCATTAACTATTTGTGAAAATGAATATTGTAGACAAAAATATCTTAAAGCAGGTACCTGCATCCTGTAGGATACTTCATTCTCATGTGATGTCATATAACAATCACTTCATTGGCTAAACTAAACAGTAGAATTTCAGAGATACTGGAAGGGGTTTGAGATTAAGTTCTGTGGGAATGGGGTCGGTGCCCTCTGAAGGGGGAAAAATGCAATAGGTGGGGTAATTTTATTTTGTTTATTTATAATTTTATTTTGTAGAGAAGGGGAGCAACTCTTGAAACACAAGTTAAATATATGTCGTTTTTTCTTCATATACGGATGTAAAATATCGCCCCGTTGCATGTTAAACTGTTGGGACGCCGGGAGTAGCTCCCTTTACCTACCATAAAATAAAACATTTTAAGGCAGTAAGTTGCAAAAAAAAGAATGATATTCATTGCAGGCAGATTGGGACTATCTTATGGGGGCAAATTTCAGCTTTGAGGGGGAAAAACATACTATTTTGAGGGGGGAATGGGGCCGATTTTCACCAAATATTTTTGTGCAAAAAACACTGGGTTAGAAGTATGGTATGAGCCTCAGATATAAGTGTCAATACAATCAGAAATAAACAAACTAGTTTGTTAGTTATGAGAAGAACCTAGCTGTACTGTGTCAAAATCTTAATTAGGTCTCTGAGTTGGAAATTATGAAATCTGTATGGAAAAATGTTCAAAAGTGAAGTCCTGTTTGATGGTCCCCGATCAGTAAACAACAACAAATTATGGAAACTTACTAAGGCTATTGCAACTTTAACTAACTTTTATATAAAGCACTTTGAATTCTGCTTGCTGCAACCAACCAGTTATCGTACATGGTTGTGACCCGATTATGGTCGTGTTTATCTTTAGTTTACTTGAAATAATTGCACTGTGTAGTCTTGTATTTACCTTTAAGGTCCTTACTTAAATGTCTTGTTCAAAATTCAGCACCTCCTAAAATAGACAATGGTATAGTATATAAAAGATAACAAAATGACTTACAAGCTGGACAATTCGATAAGATTCTTTAAGAACAGTATAAACAAAATTCTCTCTGTAGTTGTTGTTGTACAGCAGTTCCGGAAGAGGGGGAGTTACATTTGCATTGACCAATGAAAACATTTCACAAATCCGCTCTTTGGATATGAAGCTTACGGCGGGTTTCTGTTCAATTCAGTTCCAATCTCTTCACTTCAGCGGAAAATGACTATTTTTAGTAACAATTCGGCCGAACTGTTTGACGGTGTAAAAACCCGTCAGTATACATACTAGAACAGAATAGAACTGATTTCCGTCAGAGTAGCATATAAATCATACAAGCGATTCGGCGTTGTAATTTCGATGTAGCGACGGTAGCTCTGATATCGGAAAATTAAGACGGTTGGAATTGGTAGTTACATATGAGTTGAGTTAGTAGAGTTATGACGGAGAAGCGCTTGGACAGTTATAATGGCGGAGTGGATAGTTGACGGCGGGCAGGAATTTTTTAACGCCGGGGCGGGTTTTTTTAACGGCGGATTTCCGTCAGTAGAAATTAAATTTGAGATACATTATAACGGCGGAATCTTTCGGCCGGACAAGTATTACGTACGGCGGAGTGGATAGCTTATGGCGGAGCGGGTATTTCTAACGGCGGATTTCCGTCATTAGAAATTTACATTGAATTATATAGTAACGGCGGAAGGGTCCCATACCGCTTTCCATATTATGTATTTTGGTTTAGATATAAACATCAGAAATAATAAAAAAAAACACGCTAAAACGTTTTTTTTATGGGAGAACATAATTTTCTTTGATCTAATTCAATAAAGTCAATACGGCTGTTCCTTAAAAGGTCATTAACCATTGTAGAAATCGCAATTGCCAACACTAATTTTCTAGAAGACAGCGAATTTACCCCTCATGGACATCGCACAATATATGAGCTGTTCTTACCAACTTGATAAAATGTTGTTTTGTTTATAGACGTAAATTCTTTTTTTAATTCATATATAGCGTTTTTATGGAATGCATTTTCTTGCTAATAAAACCGTGTTGTACGGAGGTTCCTTATAGGATCATTAAACATAATGGAAATCGCAATTGCCGACACTAATTTTGTAGAAGACAGCAGAATTACCCCTCACGGACATCGCACAATATATGACCTGTTCTAACCAACTGACTCAAATGTTGTTTTATTAATAGACGTAAATACCTTTTCAATTCATAGCGTTTTTATGGAAATTATATTGAATGGTTACAAAGTTGCTAGGGTGCCACAATTTTTAAAGATTATTTGCAATAATAAAGCTAACAACGCTGCGATAAAGCCTTAAATGAATATGAAATTATCTATATCATTATAAAAATATCTCCCCCCCCCCAAATTTTATGATGAAATAATTTATAAATTACGTGATAATATTATCTTAAAATCTGAAACAGTCTACCAATGTTATCTGAAACATTGAATATAAAATATTTCACCAAATGTTGTGCAAAATAATGAAAACCAACGAAAATGTTAAGTATACGAATAGTTTGCGAATGTTGTGAAGAAATAGAAATATTTACTGTGGCATAATTCACCTATGCATTGATAATGGTCTCTAAACACGCACTCTACAAATATTCTGATAAAATTCATTCCTTACTACAAATGAATATAGCCCCCTAATTTTGTTATGACATAAAACTTTTATTGTAAACTGTCTCTGTGGTGATAAAATGTCTGGAGATTACAAGGAAATGTTTCCTTTTGTTTGTCATTTCTTTCCGTTACTCTGTAATGAAGCAATATTTTCATTCTATGCTTAATACAACTACAGAATGTCTTCCGTTTTCTTTCTGAAAACGTTTTTAATTCTGTGGAGAACAACAAAATGACGACAATAAATAAAAATTGTAAGGTTTATGATGCATTATTTATTGAAATTATGATAAAAAGACATAACTTATTATTTAAAAGGCCCAATAAACCCCAGAAATGATATTATTTTTGTAAAACCTTTTTTTATTGTTGGCGTCCTTTTATGGATGCCAAAGTGTTGCTAATTGGCCATAAGCTGATCAAAAAGTTGAACCATTTTTTGATGAAAATAAATCAAAAATCGCAGACAAAGCTTAATTGAATATGTTCATGAAATACTAGAGACAGTTCAGCATCTCTAACGCTCCCTAGCACCGTCTTAAATACTAAATCTTTTACAATCAATGATCCCAAATGATCAGAAAAATATAACAACGCTGACATAAAAAACTTTTCAATAATGTAATTTAAACTACTCCTACGCTTTCAAATACATTTTTATCCTAAATTACTCTATTCGTCTTGTTGTCGTTTTAATTTAATTTAATTTATAAAAAATTAGGCTGCCGGGAAAGAACTCTTCTACGGATGTTAAATTGGAGATAGAAGGAATTGGAGATCGTATCTAAATATAAATGAATTTTGGTATTCAAGTTTTAAATTGTAGAGTTTCATCACTGTCAATAAACCCAGAATTCAAACATTTATAGCTGTACTTGTGGCCGTGATCGTGAAACCGTATTATACATAAACACTCAGTCTGATACATCCAAGAAGTAGAACTGAAAGTGATATATTTTAGCTGGTTGAACTGCTTACATAAAATTTAATTAAAATAAACCGCATTTGACATTTTGCAAAGTACAGAATCCCGAGTCTTTATGACATTTGATACGATTTGTTGTCACAAAAGATCTTAAGCATAAAGCTATGAGAATTGACATGTTCGGTATTTTATCTGCCACAGAAATTTTTTGAAATGTGCTTGAACCTTCATGACATACTTAAATAGTTGTGTAAGTGTACTCCATCACTGAATCTGTCAATTTCCTGATTGATATTTCTTCAGATTTAAATTAAAGGGCACATAATCACTGTTGTACAGCGTCCACCGGATATAGCCACTAAAAACACCGAAAACGAAAGTAGAAAGCTGCACACCGAGTACACCCAATGTAATGTTTTAACTTATTTCTTCATCATAACTTCGTCGATTTTTCCAAACTAAACAATATTGTGAAGCTAAATATGTCTAGTTTTAGAGCAGTATTTGCTTATGTCTGCAATTAAATTGGTGATAAATTGTAGCGTATTTGTTGACATTTGTGAACGATGTTGATATTTACCACTAAATCAAGCCCAAAACGCATTTGCTGTATCAAATTTCGCCGTTAATACAAACTTAAGTTATCCTTCTTCTTATATTTGAGATTTCACCCTTCAACTCGAGCTGCTTTTAACAAAATTTGCGAAAAACTGTCTTGCCTTGTGTACAGAGTCTAGCACGGATGTGTCCGGGGTGTAGATGGAAAATTGTTAGCGATTGTACGGGGTGTGGAAGGTAAACGAATGTCATTTTAAGCAAAATAAATTCAGTACCAGAGCATATACACGTGCGCTGATGAAGCAAACGATTTATGTCGGGAGCAGGGATTGTGAAGTGAATGATTTTAATTTTATGAAGGATAAAAATGTTTAATTAAATTGTAAACATGTTACGCAACATGTATATTAATTGCAATAAACAGTTTCCGTCCTGCTATACCACTTTTTATGCGTGACTATAAGTTAATGGAAAACTGTAAAACTCAAAAGACCACAATTTCATTCCATATTGGTAGAACATTATGTACAGCAAATTCTTTAATTTGTCTTAAACAATATCAAACCATGTTCGAGTTATGCATTGTGAACTAAACTTGATCTTAACTTGTTATGTTGGGTTATTATTTCACTTGTCTTAAGACTTCATTGAAAAGCAAACATATGTTAATGAGCTTTGGTAAAATATCCACCTTGATTAGTTAGGTTAATCTTGTGGAAATACTATATTACTGGCTATAAAGTCTAGCATATTTTTTTTTGCAGTCAAACTCGGGTGACCTCAGTTGTGATTTCGATATTGTTTAATAAATACAATGCTGTCGCTTATGCTGCTGCTTTTTCTGAAAATGATTATGATGACTATTCAATGATGATGACGACGATGATGATAATGAGGGTATTTTATGTTTTTAGTTCAACAATGCCATACCAAATTGTACATAGTGTGCAGAGAGATATGAAACATTTAAAGAGTCTATTCGGCATATTATTTTTGGTATCTTCTGTTTATTCGGCATATTATTATTGGTATCTTCTAAGTCGACTTATAGCCTAAATAAGGCGGCTAAAACTGTTTTATAGAAGACAGTGCTAATGCCGTTTTGTAGAAAATGATACTCCTGCATAATCTTTTAATCATTTTTCGACCTCCTGTCTTATGTGTAGGTTAGTTATACATGTATATATATATAAATATATCCCCATTCGGACCATTTGATCAGATGACTCCTCAACATGTCTTTTAAATACCGACAGACACTATTAAGCTGATGGTTTCGATGGTACGACACGCAGCTATACTGTTAGGCTCAAAAACACTAAAAATTAAATTGTTTACCAAATACCTCTTTATCGTCCTCTAATCTATCCATGTTTAGTCTGAAATGAGATTATTTCAAATTAAAAATAATAAAAAAGACTATACATTAAAAAATATGTGTCTGCTAGACACCGTACACATCTACTTAACCCTGTACATTAAACTACTACACCCCGTTCACTTAAATTTGTTTTCTTTGCTAGACTCTGTACACAAGGCAAGGCCGTTTTTTGCAAATTTTGTTAAATGCAGCTCGAGTTGAAGAATGTAAACTTAAATGTAAGTAGAGGGATGACTATAATTTGTATTAAACGGCGAATTTTGATACAGCAAAT